AGTTCTCTTTCACGTTTGTTTTTTTTTTCAATTTCCTAAAAGCCTCTAAATTAACATTTCTCAAATGGCCTTTTTGATGGTCTGAAGAAGCGAGGCAGTAGTGTAGACAATAGCTCTGCTCAATGAAATGACAGCAATCAAGAGTCAGAATCACTACATTCCTAGTCAATGTCAGAACTAGGGAACATGAACCTGTAGGTAGCAGAGCAATGGTTGTATGAAAAAAACAACTCCCACGCCCATCCTCTGGGGACTCTGAAAGGGAATGACGAGGGAGGCTGTGTGATCTTGGGTTACTTAACTTCTCCAAGAAAGCCATAGACGAAGGCAATAGTAACAGTAAGTGCTATGTAGGGTAACCATAATGATTAAAGCACATAGTAAGCACTGAAAACAAACATACAATTCATTATATCAATAAAAATGTTAACTTGAAATGGAAATCATTACAGTCTCCCCCATGCTGGCCTTGATGTTCTGACAACATACTAGACACACTCCTGCCTCAGTGTCTCTGAGTATACTGTTCTCTACCTGGAATCCTCTTCCTTCAGATATCCTTAGAACTGGCTTTTACATTCCTAAAAACATCTATTCAAATGTTATCTGCTCACTGTGGCCTCTCTTGACCATCCTAGAACACCTCATCCCTCTGCCTGGTTTTGTTCTTCTCTGGGGCATCTAGCATTAGCTAATTTACTCGCTAAGTAGAATTGACCTTAGCAACATGGATGGAGTAAAGCTGTCCAGACCTTCATTTTCTGATAAGGCATGGCTCACAATGAGAAGAAACACTTGCAAGCACCCATTAATAACTGGAACATGGAATGTGCTAAGTATGCATCTAGGAAAATTGGAAATGGTCAAAAATTAAATGTAATACATAAAGGTTGCTATCTTAGGTATTTGTGAGCGGAAATAGACTGGTATTGGCCATTTTGATTCAGACAACCATATAGTTTCACTGCCAGGAATGACAGGGTGCCATGCTTATCATTAAAGAGAACATTTCAAGACCTATCGAGGTACACTGCTGTCTGTGATAGGATAAATCTATAAGTACAAGGAAGGCCAGTTAATACAATTATTATCCAAATTTACACACCAACCACTGATGATATAGAGGAATAAATGGAACAATTCTACCAACTTCTTCAGTCTTAAATTGATCAAATATGCAATCAAGATGCATTAATAGTTATTGGCTCTAAGACTGGAAAGTTGGATATAAACAGAAAACCTTGGTGATTGAAGCAAAACAAGATTGCAGGATAGAATTATGCAGACCAACACCTTCTTCACTGAA